TTTGTTCCATGTTTGATTATTCTTGGAGGCACTGTTTTTCTTTCAGATTTTTATATATGTCATCCCATTGTCTTTTTGCTTTCATGATTTCTGCTGACAAATTAGAAATGTGTTTTTGTAGTTCTCATATGTAGGTAACTTTTCATTTTTCCTGAGCTACTTTCAGGATTCTTTCCTTGTCTTTGGTTTGGAAAAGTATGATTATAATATGTCTTGGTGTTTTTCTTTTGGGGTCTATCCTGATTGGAGTTCATTCTACCTCTTGAATGGCTATCTTCTCATCTTACATGATATTAGGAAAGTTTTCTTCCAACAACATTTGGACAATATACACTCTCTTTTTTTGTGTGTGTCTTCCTGTTCTGGAATTCCAATCACACCTAGTTTGTTCCTCTTGAGACTGTCTCACATAAATCTTAGGCTTGCTTCATGTTTTTTGTTTGTTTGTTTGTTTTCCTTTTTTTATGATTGTTCTTTTAGCAGGTGAATATTGATTTTTCTTCAAGCTCAATAATTCAAACTTTAGGGGATTCAATTCTCTTTCTTTGCTCTTTGAGTGTATTATCTAGTTCTGAATTCTAAGTGTTAATCTTAAAGCTTTATAATTACTTTTTTATAGCTCCCATTTTTTGTTAATTTTGCCAGTCTGTTTCCTGAATTTTTCTGTAGTCTTGTCCATGTTTTCCTCTATTTCATTTTCAATTTTCTTGATCTTTCTCTCAATCCATTGTAGTTGCCTAAAAAGCATTCTTTAAATTCCTCATCAGGTAATTCTGATACCATTTCTGATGTTACATTTTCTGAGTCTGTATTTTGGTTACTTGTTTGAGGCATTTTGCAATGTCTATTTATATAGGCTAAAATAGTCAGTTTTTCTGAGACATTGTGGTGTCTTATTTCTTCACAATGTTGTCCAGAGCTTGTCATGATCAACATAATCAAAAGCCATTGTATAGTCAATAAAGCACAGGTAAACATCATTCTTACATTCTCTGTTTTCTTCCAAGATCTATTTGATGTCAGTAATGATATCCCTTGTTCCATGTCTTGGTTTGAATCCAGCCTGAACCTCTGACAGTTTGCTGTCATTGTAAATGTTAAAGCCATTTTAAAATTATTCTGAGTCAAATATCACTTGCATGTGATATTAATATTCATGTCTGATGATTTCCACATTCCATTGGTTCATTTCTCTTTGGAATGGGCACAATTCAATTATGGATTTCTTCCAATCAGTTGGACAGGTAGCCATCTTCTAAATTTCTTGGCATAGATGAGTGAGTGCCTCCAGTGCCACATCAGTTTGTTGAAAGATTTCTGTTTGTATTCCATCAATTCCTGGAGCCCTGTTCTCTGCCAGTGCCTTCAGTGTAGCTTGGATTTCTTTCTTCAGTATCATTGGCTCTTGATCATATGCTACCTCTTGAAATGATTGAACATCGACCGTTTCTTTTTGGTACAGTGACTGTGTGTATCCCATACATCTTCTTTTGATGCTTTCTGTGTCATTCAATATTTTGCCCATAGATTCCCCCAACAGTAAAAGGCAAGGCTTGAGTTGTTTCTACAGTTCCCAAAGCTTGAGAAATGCTGAGCACGTATCCTCCCTTTTGGTTTTCTAACTCCAGGTCTTTACACATCTCATTATAATATTTAACTTTGTCTTCTGCAGCTGACCTTTGAAATTTTCTGTTCAGCTCTTTCATGTCTTCTATTTGCTCTAGCATCTCTATGCTGGAGATCAAGTTTAAGAGTCTCTCTGTTTATGTTCATTTTGATCTTTTTTTCTTTCTTGTCTTCTTATTGACCTTTTGATTTCTTCCTGTATGGTGTTCTTGATGTCATCCCATAATCAAATCTGTTCTTGATGACCAAGTACTTAACATGTTCAAGACTAAGAGGCAGTTGTTCTAGTAGAACATGGGAACACTGAATGGTTTAAAATTAGGAAATGTGTGCACCAGGGTTGTATCCTTTTTCTGTACTTATTCAATCTGTATGCTGAGCAAATAGTTTGAGTAAGTGGATTACATGAAGAAGAATATGGCATCAGGGTTGGAGGAAGATTCATTCACAACCTGCGACATTCAGATGAGACAACGTTTGCTGAAAGTGAAGAGGATTTACAATGATGAAGATGAAAAACCACAGCCTTCAGTATGGGCTTCATCTCAATGGAAAGAAAAAAAAAAAACTCCTCACCACTAGGCCAATAAATAACATCGATATAAATACAGAAAAGATTAAAGTCAAAGACTTCATTTTTCTCAGATCAACCATCAGCACTCATGGAAGTAGCAGTCAAGAATTCAAACAACATATTACATTAGGCAAATCTGTTGCACAAGACCTCTTTAAAGTGTTTAAGAGGAAAGGTGTCAGTTTGAGGAATAAGGTGCACCTGACCCAAGCCATGGTTTTTTCCAGTAACCTCAAGGGCATCTGAAAGTTGGATAATAAAGAAGATCATAGAAGAATTGATGCATTTGAGTTATGGTATTGGAGGAGAACATTCAAAGTACTACAAAAAACAAGCAAATCTGTGTTGGAAAAGTACAGCCAGCGTACTTCTTACAAGCCAGGATGACCAGACTTCGTCTTCATACTTTGGGCATATTATGAGAAGGGACCAGTCCCTGGAAAAGGACATCATGCTTGGTAAAGTGGAGGGCTAGCAAAACAGAGGTCCCCAACGAGATGGATTGCAACAGTGACAGTAGCATTGGACTCAAGCATAGTGATGATTGTGAGCTTGTTGCAGGATTGGACAGTGTTTCATTTGTGTGTGTGTGTGCATAGGGTTCTTGTGAGTGAGTACTGACTCGATGGCAGCTAACAACAACAACAACAGTTTATGTTTATTGATTGATTATTGGTGTGCTGTCAAGCACTTCACTTTTTCCTGGTGGATGTCATAAAAGACTGGAAGTGTGAATGCAATTTTCTGTTTACTGTTTGTGTAGTGTAGTTCAGGGTGGGCTCCTATTCTTCTGAAGCAGGGACACTAAGATATTTGATCCCAGGCATAGCAGAGATTGTACAGAAGGGGCTGCCACTGGCTGCTGAGTTGGTGAGGTAGGGATTGATCATGCCCCTGGCTACCAGGTGGGAACAGGACCTGTACTCCCGTGCTGCTAAACGTCTACTGTGTGCTGTGCCTATAGGCCACTGTATCAGCAGCTGCTCTCAAAAGCTCAGGATAGCCATGCTGGCCCACAGTCTGCCTACTTTCCTTTTCTTTCACTGCTCCTGTTTAGCATCTTCTTCTAGTTGGCACTAAGTCCACTACTTTATCCTATTCCTTGATGCTCAGGGTTCCAGAATCATAATGCATATCTGTTTTACTGGGTGTCTCGTGTCTTTGTTGCAGAGGGTGGCTCAGGAACATTGTCTGTATCTATTTTACTGGGTGTCCCATGTCTTTTTTTGCAGAAGGATGTGTGTCAGTGTGTTTGTCTACTCTTCTAGCTTGCCCTGAAAGTCAGGATTGTCTTAATTTTGCCATCATTTTTGAAAAATGGTTTTGCTGAATGTAAAATTTTGGGTTGAGTTTTTTTCTTTTATCTTTCTTGAATATGTCATAACACTGCCATTGACACCTTTATGAGAAATAGTCATTAATCTTATTAATGATCCTATATGATGAGTCATTTCTCTCTTTTATCAAGATTGTCTTGGCTTTTAGTAATTAGATTAAAGTCTCTGTGTTTTTTCTTAATTGGAGTTCATTGAGCTTCTTGGGTATATAAATGGTTGTTTTTCATTATACTTGGGAAAATTTGGCCATTATTTCCTCAAATATTATTTTTTCTTTCTCTTTCTTCTCTTCTATTGGGGCTCTGATTATGCATATGTTGGTTGGCTTAATGGTGTTCTATAGACATCTTAGCCTCTGGTTCATTTTTCTACATTGTTTTTCTTACTACTTCTCAGATAGAAGAATCTCAGTTAACCTTTCTTTAAGTTTGCTGATTCTTTTTTCTACCTCTCCAAGTTTGCTGTTGAGCCACTCTCTTGAATTTTTCATTCATTCTTTTAGATGCGCTAGAATTTTATTTCTTTTAAATAATTTAGCACCTTTAAAAAAATAATTTCTTTTTTATTTGTATTCTCTATTTGGGGAAACATCATTCTCAAGATTTTGTCTAGCTCTTTTTACATTATTTCTTTTAGCTTTTTGTACATTTGGGAGATAAGTTCAATGTCTGGCCTTCTTCAGGAACAGTTTCTATTTATTGGCTTTTACCCTGTTTGTAAGTCATACTTTCTGGTTTCTTTTTATACCTCAGGTATTTTGTTGAAACAGGACATTTTTTTAAAAAATGTGACAACTCTGGAAAGCAGAGTCTCCTCCCTTCCCAGGGTTTGTTGTTGATGGTTGTTGTAGTTATTTTGGTTGATTACTTGTTTAGTGGCCTTTCTGACCTAATTTTCTTTGTTGTGTGTGGCCACTGAAATCTGTTAGAATATTGATAACGCTAGTGGTGGAATCCTGGTGTATCTCTGTAATATAAGCAATGGACTACTAACTGCAAGAATTGCAGTTTAAACCCACCAGCTATTCCTCAGAAAGCCTTTACAGGGTTGCTTTGAGTCAGAACAGGCTGGATGAAACTTAAAAAGAACAGCAGCAACAGTAATTAAACAGATATTTCCTTAAATGCCTGGAACCAGGTAGGGCAAAAGAAAATCTATTCTTTGCAGATTATTCTATGTATGTGTTAGGGCATGCCTTCAATACTCAGACAGGTAGTTTACAATTCTATAGTAGTCTTCATTTTCTGCCTGTTCAGAGCCTAAAGATCCTTCAGAAGTGAGAGCTCTGGGCCTTCTCTGGTCTTTAGAGCATTTTCTCATGTCTGTGCATGTGTGAGACCGTCTAGATTCCTAGGAATCTGTCACAGTTTTTCAAAGCCATGATTCCCCTAAAATGTTTATTCTTCAGCATTTCCCTTTTGAGTTAGTCTTATCTGCCCAACTGTTATTTGTTTCAACAACTGTTCTTTGGGTAGTTAACTTGACACTATGAGAGTGTTCAGTTTTTCAAGGTAAAAACAAGCCCTTTGAGGTCATCAGGAAGCCCTCAGACAGGTCAAAACAAACAACCACAGACAGAATAAGGTCTATCCTGCTTTCTTCAGAGTTGGTACCTATACTGGCAATGTTGGTTTTGTTGTTAAGGCCACAGAGGAGGTGGGGGTTTGTGTAAATTATAATGCCACGTAAATCTTTTATGCAGATTCTGCAGTTTGCTTTAATTTTTTATTAAGCATTTACAAGTTGTTACAGGCTTTTGGATAGTTTCGACAATTCTGAAAAAAGTTGATTCTTAACGTTTTTATCAGTTCATTTGTTGCTTTTGTTGAAGTAACAGACTTTTGGAGTTCCCTACTCTGCCATTTATCCTTTATGTATGTTTATGACTTTGTTTTTAAGCATTGTAGCTCCATACTATATTAATCTTTTTATTCTTTTTATTACATTTAGGATTTCTCTGATAAGAAATGGTGACAAACTTCCATCTCAGGATCATTTGATTGTCCAAGAATATATTGAAAAGCCCTTCTTAATGGAAGGTTATAAGTTTGATTTGCGAATTTATATTCTGGTAACATCTTGTGATCCATTAAAGATATTTCTGTACCATGATGGGCTTGTGCGAATGGGAACAGAGAAGTACATACCACCTAATGAATCCAATTTGGTAGGTATACCAGACAGATTTTATTATTTCATTCCATTGTTCAACCGGCACTTTTAAAGCACACGTTGTGTATAAAGATGTATGTATCAAAGTCCCTACTGTCAAGATTTTTCTAAAAAAGTTTTTTTTTAGGAGAATTAAATACAGAAAGAGGACTGCTTTTATTTTACAGGCTTTGTGAAAATTAGACTCCAGGTAAGCTTATTAGGAAAAAGTGCCCCTTTTATATGTTATGAGCACAAAATTGAATTTCGAAGTACACATCTGTATGCGGTGACCTTTATAAATTACTGGAAATGACTCTTATAAATTAAAAGTGATATGCTATTGACAAATGGAGTTAAGAGTAGGGATCATTTGTCTTCATTTCATCATGGAGAAAGAGGCATTTGAGCAGGCCTTAATAATAATGAGGATATGAACAATAGGGATGTGGGAGAAAGTACATAAACAGAGGAAACAAAAGTACCAGCAATGATGGTACTTAACAACAACATGAACCATATAGCAGCATGCAGGGTAAAACTGTGAGAACTATTCTAAGTCCTGTTTATCAGCATCTAGACTTGATAAACTGAATTAGTATGTTGTAGATTGAATTGTGCTCACCAAAAATATGTCAACTTGTCTGGGCCATGATTTTTTATTCTTTTTCAGATTTATCTGTGAAAAACATCAACATGTTTTTAAATAGACGATGACTTAAGAGCCCCAGTATGGGCCAGTATAAATGAACATCTCAATCATGTAGACATGTGTATAATGTTTGGGGTGGATTCCGTTTGCTGACTCTCTAAGTGTACTCTGTCTTGGTAAAGAGTTAAAGTGGTGTTTTAATCAGAATGGGAGGGTGGATATTGTGTTTGCAGTTAATATACTTATCTTTTTCACTTCTTTGAAAAAAGGAAGAATGTTTTCAGAAAATTCTGTTCCCACCACAAATTGGGGTAAAAATTGTAAGCAGCCAAAACATGAAAAAACAATAATCCTAGTTTCTTGTTTAGCAATACATAGATTCACTTTTTAATTTTATTACTTTCAATATTCTTACTAATTTAAAACTTTTAATGGTAGGTATACTCTAAATAAGGAGCTCTGGTAGCATAGTAGTTATGAATCAGGCTGCGAACTTTAGGGTCAGCAGTTCAAAACTACCAGCTGTTTCGCTGGAGAAAGATGAGGCTTTCTGCTCCCTTAAAGATTTATAGCCTTGGAAACCTTGTACAGGGTTGCTATGAGTCGGAACCTACTCCATGACACTTCACGACCATGATACTTTAAGTAATGTGCAATAGTAATGCTTAGATGATTATATTTTTAGTCCTTTATGAGAAATATGCCATTTAATTTTGTTTGAAAAATATGTAAGTAATCATGACTATTTCATTCTGTGTGTTAAATGTTAAAATAATCTTTAGTCTTTGAATGACTTTTCTGTGAAACTCACAGTTCTAGATTCTCAAAGGTTATAACAACTTTGGTTGTGTTGCAGACCCAGTTATACATGCATTTGACAAACTACTCTGTGAACAAGCATAATGAGCGTTTTGAACGTGATGAAACTGAGAACAAAGGAAGCAAACGCTCCATCAGATGGTTTACAGAATTTCTACAAGCTAATCAACATGACGTTGCTAAGTTTTGGAGTGATATTTCAGTAAGATAATACCATTTCACAATTATAACTATCATTCCTCAGCATTCATTTAAAGAATAATCATTTCAATAAAAATCAGCATTTCAAATAAAAATCAGATTACATTAGATTGGGTAGATAAACTGTTTTTATGAAGTGGTGGTTTTGATGGAATTGGATAGATAAGTAAGATGTTTACTGCTAGAGATGAGATGTAGGAAAAAGCAAAGTAAAGCAGAGGATGTATGAGCATAGTGAAAAATGGCTCAGTTTGGCTATATGATATTTGCAGAAGACCTTGGAAAGATATGTGAGGTCAAGTTTTAGGTCTGAAAAGCAAGACTTATGTAGGTGTAGATAGTAGAGATTCACTCAAGTTTTTAGGCAAGAGCGTACCAAAGCCAAAGACTTGGATGCATTTAAAAGTTAAATTTGGTAATTGGTATAGGATTGATTAGAGTGAAGACCAAGAATAGGTAGAAAAGTAATTCAGGAGTGAGAGAATGGCCTATATTGAACCACAGTGGAGCCTAAGAGTTTGTTAAAGAAGGAACAGTGAGGTAAACATGGCGATTAACTCAATGTCAAGGATGATGGGTAGAAGTATCCAGAAGATCCGTCTGTTGTTTTAAGCAGGAGATAGGGGATGGCATTGTTTGAAACAGGGTAGGAAATATGTATGTATATTTTTTGAAAAGAACATGTAGACCTTGATTTTGAAGATGAGGTAAAAGTTGTATTTGTTTATTTGTTCATTTATTCATTGATTTCGGTAAATATTTATTATACCTCTAGCATAAAAGCCTGACTCTAGCTGAAAATACAAATATTTATAAGATACAGATCTAACCAGCACCAAATTGTTAATAAAATGCATTGTAGTAAATATGGTTAACTTGCTTGGCTGCTAACTGAAAAGCTGGAGTTTGGAGTCTATGTACGGTACTTTGGAAACAAGATCTAGTGATGTGTTTCTGAAAAATCAACCATCGAAAACACTCCAGAGCATAGCTCTCATCCACATGTGTTTGCCAGAAGTCAGAGTTAACTCCATAGCAGCTAGTTGACTTTTATATTAGAGCCCAAAGTTTAATTTTTAGATATGATTATTTCTTGAACATGACCAATTTGGGCCTATTATGCTCTGACACATTTCATGACCTTTTCTTTTCTATAAGTAGGTATATTTGCATCATTCTTGGTTATATTAGTTTGACTGTATGTAAATGACCAATAAATCATCAATAAGTATAACTTTTCCAAGTACTTTTCTTGTAATTACCTTGTCAAACTGTCTGCATTTGTTATTATTTGGAAAAATTGCTTTTTTCATTAGCAATTACATATCCTTAGTATAAATACCTGTTAAAGATGAATTGGTGAGTCATAATATATTGTAAAAAGAAAATAAAAGGATTGGTCAATGAGGTAAAGTTTAATCTTAATGCCTCAGTATCCAAATTTCATGAGTTTAGGACTTCTAAAATAACTTTTTTTTAAGGGGATGGTTAGTTTCTCTAAAAAGTAATCATCTGTACATGAACACTGAAATTCATCAGTATATTTTATCAAAAACAAAGCTGTGCTCTTTTGTGCTGGCCAAGAATAAGGAATCAATTGAAAATTGTGTTTGGAGATTTAAAATGATTAAAACAACTCATTACTCACAAAACCACCTTTACTAAATACTTTTTATGTACTTGAGGTACAAACCTACAAATCATACTTTAGAGTAACAATGCGTTGAAAATTTGCAAAACTGTTGGTGGAATATTTGCTTTGTTCTTTCGCTCCTGATTTTTGGATATACTTGGCCTTGTTGCTTTCAGATTCCTGAAAATATGTTATTTTCTACATAGCAAAACCACATTTATAATTCAGGACATAGTAACTACTTTTAAAACTTTCCCCCAGCCTGTCTTATTTTACAAAGACACTATTAGTCAAAGTTTTAACTTTTTCTTCCCACTTTTAAGGAGTTCCAGTAATACCTCCAAAGATTTATACGAAGTAACTTTTTTGTCTTTTATTCATGCAATGTGGTATTATCATTTGTTATTTTGAACAGAATTCTCTGAAAACGACTCTCACATTTTTGATACTTAACTCTCAGATATGGAAGGGCCAGGATTCTGGATAAATAGAGTGACTAATACTTATTTTACCTTTGTTCTCCCATGTAATAAATATTTCTCCCACCATATAAGGAGCTCTGGTAGAGTAGTGGTTACAAGTCAGGCTGCTAACCTCAAGGTCAGCAGTTCGAAACTACCAGCTGTTCCATGGGAGAAAGATGACACTTTCTGCGCCCATAAAGATTCACATCCTCGGAAACCCTATACAGGGTCACTATAAATCAGAAGTGACTACACAGCACATAACCACCAGCAGCCACCATGCAGTGTAGTGTATGTATTGGACCTGACATATGAGATGGAGTTTTAGAAGAATGATAGCATAACAGTAACACTGGTAGTGTTCAAGAAGCTAGAATTCCTGGGTGATGTAAATGGCCAACACACTCAACTGCTAAGTCAAAGTTTGAAGGTTTCAGTCTACCCAGAGGCACCTCAGAAGAGAGGTCTGGTGATGTACTTCTGAAAAACCAGTCATTTAGAACTCTATGGAGCAAAGTTCTACTCTGACACACATGAATTGCTGTGAGTCAGAGTCATCTTGACTGCAACAGCTTATTGCTTTGTTGTTGTGAAGTGCTGTCCAGTCTATTCTGACTCATAGTGACTCTGTATGGGGTTTCCAAGGAGCAGCTAGTGTGTTTGAACCACCGATGTTGCAGTTCACAGTCCAGTGCTTATCTTATAGTGCCACACCAGGAGTATTTATAGCTTACCCAATGTTTATTGATGATATACTCTGTTCTGGGTACTCCTGGTGTGTGGCGCTGTGGACTAATGTGTCAGACTGTAAAGTTGTTTGAACTGCAAGGTCGGTAGTTCAAGCTCACCAGCTGCTCCTTGGAAACCCTATACAGGGTCGCTATGGGTCAGAATCGACTCAACAGCACTTAACAACAACAATAGTTGTGTTCCGGACAGTATGCTAAGAGTTTTACATATAATCATATTTTTTCCGGACATTAGTGTTTTGTGGCAGATGCTATTGCTTTTCCTAAATTACATTTGGGAATAATGAAATTCATTAACTTTGAGCGACATGACTGAAGTGGCCTGGCTTGATTTAGCAGAGCCATGAAGAAATCCAGGAAGTCTTTAGAACCATTTCCTATACCTATAAATAGGCAGTTAAAAAGATAATATATTCCAAGCGAAAACTAATGAGACAGTATTTCCATAATCCTTCGTTTGTTTTCAAACTGCAAATAAACTAACTTTTCCTTCATTATCTTTAGTCGCTTACCCTAGAGGTATTATGTGTTTTCTTGCAGAAAATATTGGTAGCCAACTATTTAATTAGCAGTACTCTCATTTCAGATAAACTTTATGAACTAAAAAGACATCATTGTACAAAGAAATCTGACTCTTAACAGATTATGCTCTGCTAGCCTTTTCAGTCTTTGTCTAAGTGGTTTTCTGTTTGTGAACTAACTTACTCTTTTTGGAATTATTTTCTTTCCTACCATCTTCATCCCCTTTGTGTGTCGTTACTGAGAAAGACTAGCATATGCTTCTTTATTTTATTTAACAAATAGAAGCCACATGCGTCAAGTTTTATTTTATTTATTTGTTCACAGATGTTTTTTGAGCAGTAACTAAATGCTTTGTGAGCCCTGGTGGTGCAGTAGTTAAGTGGTCAACTGCTAACCGAAAGGTCAGTGGTTTGATTCCACCTGCTGCTTTGTCAGAGAACGATGTGTTGACCTGTTCTGTAAAGATTACAGTCTAGGAAACGCGTTGGGGGACAGTTCTACTCTGTCACACAGGGTTTCAGTGAGTCAGAATCCACTTGACAGCACCTGACAACAGCTAATTGCTAGGTATTATTGTAGCTACTGAAGGTGATTGTAAATAGAACCTTCAAGGACCGTGCACTAACAAAAATAAAAAAGAGAGAGAAAAAAACATCAACTGGTTATTTGCTGTGTTGTGGCATTAATTAGTGCGATGTAAGCATTGGTGGGTGGCTACTTTTGATTTGGAAGTTAGGGAAGGCCTCTCTAAATGAATACTGAATAGCCAGGCAGGGATTTGTTTTGGGGAAGAACAATCCAGTCAGAGGGAACAAACAGTGCAAAGGGCCTGAAATAGGTGGAAGCATCCATCATGACCTGAAGAACCCAAAGAAGGCAGATGTGGCTGGACCACAGTGGACGAGGGAAAGAGTTGGAGGAAATGAAGTCAGATCAGTGGCAGACACTAGGAAGCTAGTTCATTGGCCTAGGTCATATAATTCCACATATGTGAGTGAGATGTAAATTGTTAAGACAGTTTCACATCTTTTTTTTTTTTTTTTTTTAAATCACAATCCTTATAGGAATTGGTGGTAAAGACTTTGATTGTAGCAGAACCTCATGTCCTGCATGCGTATCGAATGTGCAGACCTGGTCAGCCTCCAGGAAGTGAAAGTGTCTGCTTTGAAGTTTTGGGATTTGATATTTTGTTGGATAGAAAACTAAAGCCATGGCTTCTGGAGGTAAGGCATTCTTTTAAAAGAAAGGAGTTATTACTGTTTTTGTGTATTGAAACAAATGCTTTTTATTAAAAATGGGTCTTTTATTAAAAGTTGTCTCTTTAATTGAGCAGAATGAGGCCTGAATGAAATAGGTGGAAGGAGAGAAGAAAATAAAAATTCAAGATACAAAACAGTTACAGGCATTAATCAATATACTTTTGGTGTTAATTATTAACAACTGAGTCTTGAACAGTAAGCAGGTTAGGAGCATTGACCACTCCCTCCCCCACACAGTTGAAATTCCACATAACTTTTGATTCCCCCCAAAACTACTACTAACCTACTGTTGACTAGAAGCTTTACCAATAATATAAACAGTTGATAAACACATATTTTTCCTGTTATATGCATTGTATACTGCACCTAAAATAAGGGCTACATTTTCAATATAAGATAAAAAGGTATTTCACAAAAATTTGCATCAGCAGCTTCAGGAGTTTCCTTTTTCTTTCTTTTTTAAAAACAATGGTCCCTTCTCTGGAATAATTTATCTTGAAGTGGTAAGTAACCACAGCTGTAGACATCAATCTATGGTACATTGCAAGCAATTCACCATTTTCACATGGACTTTTCTCTGTGACTTTGGGGCACTCAGCATCACTAGTGGCACTTCATATGCGTCCCTTGATGTTATTCAAGGTTTACAGTTTTGCACTAAACATGATGAAATATACTCAAGAACAATGAGAGATCACCTTTTACTACAACACAGGAGACAAACTGCTCACCTGGAGATGATTAGTGCCACATGACATTAAAAACAAAGTAACAAAAAACCATATAAGCACAGTTCAAACCCATGTTGTTCAAAGGGCAGCTGTAGTGTTGAGTGAATTTCTGGACCAGTAATTTTGAATATATGTGTGGATCTGCTTTTATTGATGTATTGCCTACTTTATGTATATTTTAAACTCATGGCTTCTACCACCTCATGACTTGGATACTACCTTCTCTCTGTGAGTGCTCAGGCTTTAGGATTGTGACATTCTTGTCTCCATTTTGTGTGTCCCCTTCCAAGAGAAGAGAAGCACTTGGTTCATTAATCAGTGTTCATTAACCAACATCCCATCCTGTAGCTCAAATTTTCCTTTCAGGCCATTTGATAGACTCCACGTTCCTGATATAAGTCAGCCCGTAAACTTTCTCTTTGAGTCTACTGCCAGTTCCTGGCATGGATAAGGTTGTTACCATTTTTCCTGATTATAAGAAATCACTCTAGATCATTTGGAAAATATGGAATAATATAAAGGAGAAAATAAAGATTATATCTATATAGGATTTTTATATCTTTTCTATCAGTCATATTTTTATTTACATTATAGATGGAAGAAACCTTAGACATTTGGCTGAGTAGTACCCTATCCAGTAGTATCCTCTAAGCTTCCTGTTCTGAGGTCCCAGAGCATTTGAATGACTACTGATATAGTGTGTATAGGAAACTTAATTAGGAAAAATCTAAACATTCAGCGTTTACTGGATTAGTTACAGCTTCAGGAACATATGTTATAGAAGATATCATCAAGAAGCTTTCATTTTAAATTGATCTCTTTTTCGCTAGTATTTATAAATTGAAATTTACATCTGTAATATCAAGGTTTGAGTAAGCAAATTGAATATAATAAATGACATCAAGATAGTCAATGTATTGTTCTTGTTGAATTGATTCTGACTTATAGCAAACCTGTAGAGGGTTTCTGAGGAGCAGTTAATAGGTTTGAACTGTCGATCTTGTGGTTCACAGTCTAGTGCTGATCCTACAGCATCACACTAGAAATCTATTCAATATTTATAGTGATTTGACTTGAACCACAAGGTCAGCAGTTCATGCTTATCAGCAGCTCCTCAGAAATGCTATACAGGATTGCCTGTGGTTCAGAACCGACTTGACGGCAATTAACAACAAACATTTATTGTTGTCGTTGTTAAGTGCCATTGAGTCGACTCCTGCCTGTATAGGGTTTCTGAGGAGCAGCTGGTGATCTTGAACTGCCACCTTTGCAGTTCAAACGGCTTTGCAGTCTGGCGCATTAACCCACAGCACCACACCAGGATTCTCTCTCTCTCTCCATATATATATATATGGAGCTCTGGTAGCGTAGTGGTTACGAATCGGGCTGCGAACGTTAAGGTCAGTGGTTCGAAACTACCAGCCGCTCCGTGGGAGAAAGATGAGGCTTTCTACTTCCATAAAGATTTACACCCTCAGAAACCCTGTACAGGGTCGCTATGACTCGATGGCACTTAACAACAACAACTATATATATATATATATTTTTTTTTTTTTTTTTTTTGGAAAGGACACTTTTTCGTCTTGAGGGCTAACCATTTTATGTGTACATTTTCAGTGATGTGAATTATATTTTCATACAAATCTAGTTCTCTGTGTTAGGTCATTGAAATTTTGTTTCTGATTGTGTGCTAGAAAAGGAGCCCTGGTGGCACAGTGGGTAAGTCAGCATTTCGAAGCCCCCAGATGCTCTGTAGAAGAAAGATGTGACAATCTCTTTTGTAAACATTAGGAAACCCTATAGGGTCACTACGAGTTAGAATTGACTTGATGACATTGAGTTTGGGTGTGCTAGAAATAAGATTAATGTCTAGTGTTTTGCTTATCCCTTTCATTGACCATTCCTTGGATGTAAAAGCTGTTGAACTATACTGTAATGGACCTGTCATCTAACTAAGTAAGGTCAGGCATTTACTTCTTTAGACTCACCACTTTGTAGTTAGCCTTTTCTGTTCTTACTTAGCTGTATCTTTGCTCCTCTTAATTGTCTGTTATCCTTGTGGAGTGGGGAAGAAGTTAAGACACATTCATGTGATAGAACCCAAAGGATAGCAAGGAATAATAATTTTACAAGTATTTTAGTTACCTGTTCTTAAAAACGTTTGCCTATAAGCTTTTTATTAAGTAGATTTTATTAGAATGGTAAATCACAAGTGATGAAATAGTTGAATTCCCCCCCCCCCAGTATCATTATTTATTTCTTCATGATTTCCACATCAATCAGAGCCGGTGAAAACTCCACAATAACCAACAGCTATGGATAATGAATAGTTATATAAAAACAGTCAGAAGAACATTCTCTCTCCCTCTCTTTTTTTTTTATCCTTCCACCAGAGACTGTTGGGTCTAAGATAAATTGTATGCTAAGAACCTTTTGGCGCCCTCAAGTGGAATAAGGTAGAAAGTGCTTCTTAGAATAGGGTCACATCTAGGTTAACTAGAATGATTGCAGGTAATGATTGCTATTTGTTGTTGTTAATTTCTCTTGAGTTGTTTCTGACCCATAATGACCCTGTATAGGGTTTCTGAGGAGTTGCTGGTTAATTTGAACCGTCGACCTTGTGGTGCAAACCAACCTAACAGTCCAGAGCATTAACCCACAGCACCATACCAGGACTCCAAATAATGATTGGTGGTGGTGGTGGCAGAGTTGGTTCCGACTCAGTGACTCGGTCTGTACAGCGTTTCTGAGGCTGTGAATCACTACGGGAGCAGAAAGCCTCATCTATCTCCTGCGGAACAGCTGGTACTTTCAAACTGCCCACCTTGAGATTAGCAGCCTGAGTTGTAACCACTATGCTACTAGAGCTCCTTAAGTAATGATTAGTAGTGAAAACTGCAGAAATTACTTAAGCACTAGGAAACATTGTTTAGGGTACAAAGGTGACAGCTGGGTGAAATGTGAATATACTTAACCCTTAAGTTAATTTTGACAAGGACCTTGTACGTTACATCAGTGTACTAGGCAGTGGATAACTAAGAATAAGACACAAGACTTACCCTGGAGGAGATAGCATCTGGTGTGGGGACTCAGATAAGTGCTTGTATAGCGTTTTATAGAGGGAAATGGCACAATCAATAGAGTGATTGACGCTGTGTGTGTATGAGCATGTGTGCATTTGGAATTGCAAAAATCTTTGTGGAAAAGGGAACATCTGAGCCAAGCGTTTCCAGTTGCAGAAGGTGAAGGTAGAGGATTAGGGGCTGGAAGAAATCGGGCAGTGTAGAGGGGAAGCTACCAGGCAGGAAGAGCAGCAGTAACTTAGGAGCTCAGAATCTATTATGGATATTCTGATAAGGTCATGAATGATTGTTTTGATAATTAAAACTATGGACAGTTAATAAACAATACTTACTAATTTTATTTTATAATTTTGTTTCAAATGCATCTACCAGATGTTGAGACTTTATAAATCTCTGGATTTTGTTTGTTTTAGACTAGGGATAGAGTAGAATTTTGGCTATGTAGAATCCTATCTAATTTTCAGTGTTTCTTTTTGTGAGCCATTTCTGATTCTTCCTTAATTTATTTCTTTGGCTTTCTTAATCATCTTCAAAAACCATATAATCAAACCCGGGGTGGGTTGTCCTATAAACAAGGTAAGTACAGGCTTACTTGTACTTATTTACCAATTTGTAGCAAACAATTTCACATGAGTTTGTGAAAAACAGGTGAACCTATTCACTACAGATTAGTAAGTAAACACAAGCCCATGTTTTACCTTGCTTACTGAAAGACCCCATCCTGACAGGGATTGTAATTTTGAAAAGAGGCTATGATTCTGTAGGAAGGTGCTGTGGGTTAGAAGGGAGACAGATGCCAGCCATATGTACAAGCAGAGTCTTTGATACAGTTAAAGAAAAGAAAAAAGGTGAACTTGTTCACTACTGATCAGTATATAGGTACAAGTAGGTCAGTGCTTACTAGGTAATCTAACATTGAATTAAACATATGAACAAGCAAACAAAACCCATCAAATCCTGATGAATGTTAACACTAATTTTAAAATGCTGTTCTATCTTTCTGCATATTAATCTATTTTGATTGGGTGTAGTTTCTAAAGACCCATTTCTTTTATATGACAGTAGAGTGAAGAATCTGATACAGGTAAGAAGAAAGAGAGACCTGAGGTTATGTTATACTAACATCCTAAAGGGATATATATTGGCAGAATTCCAGATGGCAATTTTAGAATGGAACACCTAAGGAATTCTGTATATAGGTAACATTTCAAAGAAATACATAATTACAAAGGACCTCTAGTAGCGTAGTGGTTATGAGTTGGGCTGCTAACCACAAGGTCAGCAGTTCGAAACTATCAACTGTTCCACAGGAGAAAGATTAAGCTTTCTGCTTTCATAAAGATTTACGGCCTCGGAAACCCTATGCAGGGTCGCTGAGTCAGAACCGATTCCACGGCACACCACCACCAGCACCACCAGCACCACCACCACTTAATTACAAGTTCCTAAATATTTGATTTACTTTATCATCCTGTCACATGTGGTAAGCCCCCAAACAAATCCCACTTCCATTGAGTTGGTTACAACTCATAGCCACCCTACATAGGGTTTTCAAGATTGTAAATTTTTACAGAGGCAGATAGCCTCATCTTTCTCCCACAGAATGGCTGGTGAGTTTGAACTACAGACTTTGCGATTAGTATCCCAATGCTTAACCCACTGAGCTGCTAGTCACAAGATATTTTTGCTTGTGTTACAAATTCCAGATATTTGACTTTACAATAAAAACGATTGAAACTTTCATACACATCACTTAATCCTTTTTCTGCACTTGTAAAAGACAGTCCTTAGAATTCATTTTCTCAAGTTTACCTGAAATAAATGGATGTTACCGCACCTGTCAGGTCATTCACAGCCCCTCTAGATCATATAATAATGATAGGAATATGTCTATCACCTTCTAAATCAGAAATTCCTAAGAGTCAAAACACAGGAGGGCATGGCCCTAGAAAAGGGGTTCCATGCATCCATGAAAATGTTAGCATGAAATATTTTCATGATGTATTATTAAGGAAAAATATGGAATTATAAAGTAGTACTCTGGTAGCGTAGTGGTTACAAATCGGGCTGCGAACCTTAAGGTCAGCGGTTCTAAACTACCAACTGCTCCGTGGGAGAAAGATGAGGCTTTCTATTCCCGTAAAGATGTACACCCTCGGAAACCCTGTACAGGGTCGCTATGGGTCGGAACCGACTCGACGGCACTTAACAACAACAACAACAAATGGTTAGTATGTTGTTGTTGTTAAGTACCATCCAGTCGGTACTGACTCATAGCGACCCTGTATACGGTTTCGAAGAAGCGACTGGTGAGCTTGAACCATCAACCTTGTGGTTCACCAACTTTGCAGTCCAATGCATCAACCCACAGCATCACATCAGGACTCCATGGTTTAGTATAGGCATGTATTTATAAAGTAGAGTGAATATTATAAATGTGCATTCATAGATAATACTTGGAATGCTATTTACTAAATTGTTAACAATAACACTTGGTAGTGAGATTACAAGTGACTTTTGTCTGCTTGTTGCTTACTAATTTTTCTACAGTGAACCAATGCCACATTTCCAATTACTGTGATTTTATTCCTGGGTGATTTCTTGAATATAATATGGTATATCCTCCCTCTTGCTAGTTGTAGCATGCTTGCTGTCACTTGTTCTGTCTCTCATGGTGATGGATTTGTATAATAAGCTCCCCTTCCTATGGCTTATAGCACAGAGGTTTTGACATAGTCTGTGGGTAGTGGGTGACCACAGAGGTAAGCTCCAGCATTGAACTCATTAGCAGTGCTCTAACCAACTGATGTAATTATTTTCTGATACCTTGTTCTTTCAGTTGCATTTGCCTAACAAAAAAAATATTAATGAAAACAAAAAGCTTCATCTCTTGAAAGGATAGTAAATTGCATTATGTATTTTAGGGCATATACAGTTACTTATTTTTTATCTTAATTCCCGTAAGTGATATGGAGAAGTGAAAGAGTCATAAATGACTTGTTCATTCCCATGAATCCATATACGTCATAAGAACTCATAGAGTTTAGTCCGCAGCTACCTTAACTGTATTTTCTGAGTAATGAAATCTATGACTTTGGCAATGAAAGTTGATGATGCATTGTTTGAGCCAGACAAAGAGTAACAAATTTTTTGTTTCCGGCAGCAATAGATTTATTCATCAGAAAAATCTGAACTGTGAAAACAAGGGCACTGATAGTTCCTATATGCTAAATATATGTATGCATAAAAATATTACTCTAATGGTAACATGGATATTGCTTATTATTATTGTTCTTCCAATTTTTATGTCAGGATGATTCCATTTTAATATCCTTAAAATTAAAGCCTAGTGGTCATGGAGACAGTTAAGAGAGGGAAGCAGTTCATGCTGACAGGGAAGTCTCTGAGCTAAGGCAGCCAGGGTTGGGGGAATGATGCTACCAGTCAATTCCTCAACCAGAAGGAGGTGGGGAAGGGAGGTGTTGGCAAATACCAGTGGCTCATGTAAAGCTTCCAATGTAAGATGAACATGTATGTGTTGAATATTTATTGACCTTTCAACATTTTTGTAATTGAATGGTTTTCTGTGTAATTTTCAGATTAATCGAGCTCCAAGTTTTGGAACTGATCAGAAAATAGATTATGATGTGAAAAGGGGAGTGCTTTTAAATGCACTGAAGCTACTAAATATCAGGTAAATAAATTATTTGCTCTATCTTTTGGTTTCCACAACTGAGAAAGAAGAATCATCTGTACCTTAAATTGGTTTGTAATTGTTTTTCTTTTTTGTATTCTGAAGGAATTTATTGAATCTTTAAACCCATTTAGTTTCTTTCTTTTTTTAGTACCTCTTTCCTTCCTCCCCCATACTGTATTTCCTGTTTTCCATATAATACTCTCTGTCTTGTGTACATTCATGGCCAGTGTCTGGGGAAATCTGCATGTTGCTGTATTGTTGAGCAGACGTCAGTGGAACTTCTAAATTAAGATGAACTAGGAAGAAAGATCTGGTGATTTGCATATGAAAACCAAACAGTAAAGACGCTGTGAAGTCATTACTGACGTCAGATGGCTCTTGACTGAAAACAGAACATACCAGAAAGATGTTTACTTGTGCATTATTGACTGTGCGAAGGCATTCAACTGTGAGGATCATAACAAATTCTGGATAACATTGCAAAGAATGGGAATTCCAGAACACTTAATTGTGATCATGAGGAATCTATGAACAGGCCAAGAAGAAGTTATTAGAATAGAACAAAGGGATACTGAATGATTTAAATTCAGGCAAGGTGTGTTGCATGGTTGTATCTTTTAAAAATACTTATCCGATATGTATGCTGAGCAAATAAATCAAGAAGCTGGATTAGATAAAGACTGTGGCATCAGGAATGGAGGAAGATTCATTAATAACCTTGATATGCAAGTGACATACTTGCTAAAAGTAATGACTTAAAATACTACTAATGAAGGCTTTCATATGGGTTTCATCTCAATGTAAAGAAAACAAAAATCCTTACAACTGGATCAATAAATAACATCATGATAAAAGGAGAAAAGACTGAAGTAGTCAAAGACTTAATTTTGCTTGGATCCACAGTTAATACTCATGGAAGTAGCAGCCAGTAAATCAGACAACAGAGTGCATTAGACAAATCTGCAGGAAGAAACCTTCTTTAAAGTGTTAAACAGTAAAGATTTCAGTTTGAGGACTAAGGTGAACCTGACCCAAGCCATAGTATTTTCAATGACATCATATACATGTGAAAGCAAGACAATGTAAAAGGAAGATCATGGAAGAATGTGTGCATTTGAATTATGGTGTTGGAGAATAATGAAAGTACCATGGACTGCCAGAAGAACAAACAAATCTGCATTGGAAGAAGTACAGCCAGAACGCTCTTTAGAAGTGAGGATGGCAAGACTTTGTCTCATACTTTGGACATGCTAAGAGAGATCAGTCCCTGGAGAAGGACATCATGCTTCAAAGAGGTGGAGGGCCAGCAAAGAAGAGGAAGATACCCAGTGAAATGGACTGACACAGTGGCAGAAACAATGGGTTCATAACAATTGTGAGGATGGCGCAGGATTACGCAATATTTTGTTCTGTTGTGCGTAGGGTTGTTAAGAGTTAGAACAAACTTGAAGGTACTAACAACAACATGCAAATACGTTACATATTTTAGATGATTTAAACAATATACCCTTTTTATGAAATATTGTTGTTCAGGTAACCCTTGTGTTTGTATTTCGTGTTTTGTTGTGTGTGTTTGTGTTTTGGTTATGTCTTTTGACTGTGCCAACAATGGTACTAAATTGAGACATTATCTAAGTATGTTTAGTGTATATATATATATACACATAACTGTCAAATATTTCTAGACCTGAAAGTAAGGGGAAGATGGGATTCTTCTTCCCTTGTCTTTCTTTATGTTGTTGCACAGATAATTTAGCTCAATTCTTAGCATTTAGTGCATACTATGATAATGAGTCCTGGTCTGGCACTGTGGGCTAATGTGTCATACTGCAAAGTCATTTGAACTGCAAGGTCAGTGGTTCAGGCTCACCAGCTGCTCCTTGAAAATCCTATACAGGGTCACTATGGGTCAGAATCGACTTGATGGCACTTCACAACAACAACAGTGCTAATGATGCTAATGTAGTTTATGTTGCTGAAGTGCTGCGGTCTCTTTCCAAACAGATGGAGAGCTCTGTGGGCATATGTTTTAGACCATTATTTCACTTTGGTTGTTTTCTTGATGGGCACATTGCAGGGATTAAGAAGACTAAGAAAATTATTGGCTTCTTACTGAGTATAGGTTTCATTTTCATAAAAATAGTTTTAATTTGGGGCAGAATAAATGATTTGATGAGTTTAGGAATTCCCCCACTTAATCTGACAGTTGGAATTATTTTTTTTTTCATTGTATTATCGGCTCAAGAACCCAAATTCCTGATCTAAACTCCTTTTATAAATTTAGTTGTCTACTCTTTGTTTTTGAAGCTTTTATTGTTAATTGAGTGATAGTCTACACGGCAGAACATCAGTGTTGTATTCAACCAGTTGTATTTTGTTTCATTGTAATGATTACAATACCCTTTTCGGATGTACACAAAAACATGCAGGAATATATAATTGTTTAAACAACCAAAGGGCTCATTTTGCAAACCAGCCCCCTGCCTGTCTTAAACAGCCTTTTTCTTTCCATGAATCTAGAGTCCTCAGATGCTCTATTTTTCAATGCCCTCATCTGTCTCCAACTCTGATATCACTGTCTCTCTGGTTAGCATCCCACACTCTGCCCATATTCTTCCCTCGTGCTGGTTCCAGGGTCCTCTGTTCCTGGAAAGCAAGATCAACTACTCCCCCCCACCCTTTCTGTTACACATTTTCTACCTTTAAAATTGTGACAATAGCAATTAGTCATGATAACAATTACTCACTGTTAAATCAAAAGGATCCTACCCCCATCTCCTTTCACCTGACCCATTTAGACAAGATGGAAACTATTCAGTGGGGATTCTACCTTCCCCCATTCACTCAAACTAAATTCCCTCTTGAAAACTTGTAAGCCAGCCACTTTGTTCCTTTATAGCCTTCCCCCCATTTTAGGTAGCTATTGTCTGAGATGGAGTCCTGGTGTGGCGCTGTGGGTTAATGTGCCAGGCTGCAAAGCTATTTGAACTGCAAGGTCAGCAGTTCAAGCTCACAAGCTTCTCCTTGGAAACCCTATACAGGGTCGCTATGGGTCGGAACCGACTTTTCGGCCCTTAACAACAACAATTGTCTGAGATGCCCATCCCTATCAACCCTGTGTACTGAGGGGATATGCTTGATCCTTGATTTGAAGACTCCTTGCCTGTTGGTTGGCATTTTCTGCTACTACATCTATAAGATAAGGCCAAGTTCATCAAATTGTAGCAGTTTACACTTGTTAAGTCTAACATTTATTTCCTCAATAATAGTCCTTATTCCATTTTATGTGTATTTCTTTAGTTGAGTGCTCTTATATCTTATTTCTACCCAAACCAAAATGTTAGATTGATTATCCCATTGTTTTTCTTACATATCTTGCACATTTTCACTGATGATTTATGCTGGTCCCTATCCTGAATACCTTTTCTTATTGCCTGTGATTCAGATCCTATCGTTTATAATGAAACTTCCCTTTTAGCTCTAATTAAGCTTTCCTTTCTTTGAATTCTAGGGAGACTTACAGTCTGCATAGGACATAGCTTCTAATTTTTTTCTCTTGTGGTCTGTATTGTTTACCGGCATGGTTGCTTTTCAGTTTCCAATTCAACTTAAATTCCTTGAGGTCAAGATTTATCTATATTTGTATTCCTTACAATTATTAGAATAACAACAACAACAACAACAACAAGAGCCTTTTGCTATTGGGTCAATTACAAGTCATATCTAGCATATAGTACAGAGCAGAACTACCTCATAGGGTTTCTAAGGCTTTAATCTTTACAGAAGCAGACTATCTCATCTTTCTCCTATGGAGTGCTTAGTAGGTTTGAATCACTAACCTTTTGATTAACAGTTGAGTGCTTAACCACTGTGCCATCAGTCATCTTATAGTGTGTTGTTTTTGTTATGTCCCATTGAGTCACTTCTGAGTCATAGTGACCCTTTGTAGGGTTTCCAAGGAGCAGCTCGTGGGTTTGAACTGCAAACCTTACAGTTAATAGTCTTGTTCTTATCCTTCAGTGCCACACCCCAAACTTTTTTTCTTTTTTCAAACTTGTTTTTTCAAAGACATGTTTTTAGTCATGAGGAAATTCAGAGTAGTAGAGGCTGTTTATCACAGCTACTGATCTTTAAAGGAGCTCTGGTAGCATAGTGGTTACGAATTGGTTTGTGAACTGCAGAGTCAGCAGTTCGAAACTAGCAGTGGTTCCACGGGAGAAAGATGAGGCTGTTTGCTCCCGTAAAGATTAACAGCCTCAGAAACCTTGTACAGGGTCGCTATGAGTCGGAACTGACTCCACGGCACATAACAACAACAACAATCTTTATGATTGGTTGCCACAATACAGTTTGAGCTCAGATTCAACTTTTTAGCTGAAACCTGATGCTTGATGTTTTCAGCAACGAGAGAGTGTGAAAGTAGTTATGTGAAGAGCAATGAAAAGTTTTGTTTTGTTTTTCTTTCCTGGAAAAGAAAGTAACATCCAATCTGTAGTGGTGGCATTACTGAGTTGATAAGGAGCATCTTCTTTCCTCCATAATTAGTCTATTAAGATCATGAAAATAGAGTCTAGGAAAGACATTCATAGCCCCAAGAATCTGTGATTCTGAAATACTTGTTAATTAAATTAAATTAAGTTCAATGAAATTAAACTACCTAGTTAAATTAAACTACCTTGCTCTTGTGGTGCTGTGGGATAAAGCACTGGACCACAAGGTCAGTTTGAACCATATGGTTGACTGTTCAAACTCACCAGCCACACCTTGGAAACCCTATACAGGGGTTGCTGTGAGTCGGAACTGACATGATGGCACTTAACAACAACACCCTTGCTCTTATTTAGAAAAAAACAATAACACCATAGTCTAGATGTACGTGGTATTTGCATCTTTTAATGCGATTTGGCTTTTGAAACTTCATTCACATTGGTCTTTATGGTACTATTTTCTGGAATCACTTAACTTTGTGATTCTTCTTTTCCCTCTTATGATGTCACTTGTTTCAGCTCCCTAATCATCATTTTCTCCTGTGCTCTTGCCTCAGTTCTCTTTTGTTCCTTGACACTCCCATTCCTCTGCTGGCATCATTTGTGATTCTGACCCCTGTATATTCTGAGGCCTTGATTTGGACCTCTCACTAGTTCTCAGCTTCTTTGGAGTTATAGACCTGCTTTTGCAACAGTCTGAAGACTGTACACTGGATAATTCTGGTTTAGTGATTGTTGAACAAACATGTAGTAAGAGAGTGAATGAATAAAAAATAAATGAATAAATTTGTGAATTTTCTGATGGCATAAAAGGTTCAATATGATCAAAGTTGGATGTTTTCTTCTTCAGTTATGTTCTTCTTACTGACTTTCTCTCCTTTTTTCTGGTTGGGTGTTACCTACCTCCAATTCAGAAATGTAATGATACATGGCCATTCTTAAAGGTTTTTTTAAAATTATAAGCTGGAGGTAAAAAAAAAAATTCCTAACATTTCCCGGGCTGCTGTTGTTGTTAAGTGCTCTTGGGTCAGTTCTGACTCTTTGCCACTGTGCATAAGGCTTCTGACAAGCAGCTGGTGAGTTTGAACTGCCAGCCTTGTGGTTTGCAGTCTACTGCTGATCCTATTGTGGCACACCAGGAGTCTGGAAAGTTGAATCTGAACTCAAATATGAGTCAACTGAATCCTGTTAAATTTCTGACTATGTCTTAATTTCTTACTCTACTATCTAAGTTTAAGGACTTCTCGTCTTTGTCTGGGACTGTCTCGTTGGTTTCTTTCTTGTTTCCAGCACTAACTCTCACCCCAATTTATAACTTCCATACTGTTTGTCTGTAGGCCATTTAATAAGTATTCATTGAGTGCCCACTATTACTATAGTTGTTGTTATTGTTGTTGTTAAGTGTTGTTGAGTCAGTTCCGACTCATAGCAACCCTGTATAGGGTTTCCGAGGAGCACCTTGGTGAGTTTGAACCACTAAGCCTGTGGTTCAAACCGACCTTGTTGTTTAGTGCTTTATCCCATAGTGCCGTACCCGGATTCCATTAGATACTAGAAATTCAAAGTTTCCCATGATTCCTAGGTATCTGGTTTTGAATGATTTCTTTGATAATGCATTTTATGATGAGATATGAATCGGACTGTGAACCTTAAGGTCAGCAGTTTGAAAATACCAGCTGTTCCGTGGGAGAAAGATGAGGCTTTCTGCTCCCGTGAAGATTTACAGCCTCAGAAACCCTGTGCAGGGTCACTATGAGTCAGAACCGACTCTATGGCACATAACAACAACAACAAAAGAACGTAGGTGAGAAGTAATTGGGGAAGGTAGAAAGAGAATTTAGTTTTGGATGTGCTAATTTTGAATTACATTGAGGCACATAGAAGAATTGTTAAGTATGAAATGTGATGTGCAGGTCCTCATGATATATATATATATATATATATATATACACACACACACACACACACACATATGTGTATGTGTGTATTTGACTGACATTCTTGTATAGATTGTAGTTGAATCTAATGGATGAGGTAAAGACGGGCAAGGGCAGAGGTCTGAAAAACACCAGTGTGTGAAGAGATATTTATAAACTCCAATATTCTCATCATGTTGTTTCCATACTGTAAGATAAAGTCTAAAATTTGATGATGAAATAGCTTAATAGCCCATCTTAACTGTCTGCCTCTCTTCTCCTCCACTTCTAAGCCACTCTACTATGTCAACAGCATATTTTTTTAACTTGAAAATATAAGTATGCCCTTCTCCTGTCTAAAATTCATACCCCTTCAGTGCCTAAAGTTAAATTTGAAGCTCAGTAATCTAATTAAGCCTTTTTTGAATAGCTACATTTCATACATTTATCGAAAGCTCTAGGCATATTGAATGACTTGTAATTTTTTGAGTGTGTTCATGCCTTTTCTCATGTTCTTCCTTTTACCCTGTCCACCTGTTGAACTCTTGTCACTAAGGATTCAGTGTTGTCATGAAATAGATGAGACAAATTTCCTAAAATTCCTGCAAGTTCAAGTTGTGTGTTTGGTACAAATGTAAGGTAAAATAATACTCTTTTTATTATAGGGACTTGGCCTTCTATTCTCAATACAGCCTCCTGGTGAATTCATTGGGAACACATGTAAGCTAACACCTCTTTTTCCTTACCAGTTTAACTCTCACAAGGTTTTATTGTCCCCCTTTTTTTAGTTTATATCCTCATTTGGGCCTTACTAGGCTATTGCCATGGAAAGTCATGGAAATGTAAGATCAAAGATTTTGTTGTTGTTGTTAAATGCTGTTAAATGGCTTCAGACCCATAATGACCCTGTATGGGGTTTCTGCGGATTGGCTGGTGAGCCAGAACCACTGACCTTATGGTTCAAACTGACCTTGCAATCCAGTGCATTAACCCACAGCGCCACACCAAGACTCCAAGATCAAGGATAATAACCCTATTTCCCCCCCTAAGGTTAACACAAGAAATGACTTTGCTTTCTTCCCTCCCCAACGCCTCAAACCAACTCTTTTCTGCCTTACTTTCTTCCTTCCGGGATGATGTATAAATGTGCAAATTGGAGGGGTAAAGATAAGAGGACTCAGGCTTATCTTAATGCACCAGCTGCATGAGAAGAGAGAAAAGAGGTTTAGAGGAAAGTGATTCCACAACAGAGCTTTTCTATAAATTTTTCATGGTTGAGTCAAAGTTGAGACAGTTTATGCAGATGTGTTTAAATAAGCAAAATCTGTTAGACTGGAAATTTAGTCATAACTGAAAATCTGCTAAATATATAGTATAAGTGAGAAATGCTTAACTTTTCAGTGGGTTTGGTTGGTGAAGCAGAAAAGATCCAAAATATATTAAGTACTTGTGTGTGACAGGGTTCTATTCTTTCACCATACTTATTCAACCTATATGCTGTGCAAATAAGACGAGAAGCTGGGTTCTATGAAGAAAAACATGGCATTGGGGTTGGAGGAAGACTCATTAGCAACCTGAGATATGCAGATGATACAACCTTGCTTGCTGAAAGTGAAGAGGACTTAAAATACTTACTGATGAAGATCCAAGAACACAGCCTTCGGTATGGATTGCATCTTAATGTAAGGAAAACAAAAATCCTCACCACTGGACCAATAACATTCTTATCGATGGAGAAAAGATTGACGTTATCAAGAAGTTGTCATTCTTCTTGGATCAATTATCAACACTCATGGAAACAGCAGTCAAGCAATCAAACAACGTATTGCATTAGGCAAATGTGCTGCACAAGACCTTTTTCAAGTGTTGAATAGCAAAGATGTCAACTTGAGGACTAAGGTGCGCCTGACCCAAGCCATGGTATTTCAATAACCTCATATGCATGTGAAAGCCGGACGTTGAATATGAAAGACTGTAGAATAATTGATGCTTTTGAGTTGTGGTGTTGGAGGAGAATAATGAAAGTGCCACGGGCTGCCAAAGAACCAATAGATCCGTTTTGGAAGAAGTGCAGCCAGAGTGCTCCTTAGAAGCCAAGATGGCCAAACTTTGTCTCTCATATTGTCAGGAGGGACCAGTCGCTGGAGAAGGATATCATGTTTGGTAAGGTGGAGGGTCAGAGAAAAAGAGGAAGACCCCCAATGTGATGGATTGGCCAAGTGGCAGCCTCGATGGACTCAAGCGTGACAACAATAGTAAGGTTGGCCCAGGATCGGGCAGTGTTTCGTTCTGCTGTGCATAAGGTCTCTAGGGGTCGGTACCAACTCAATGGCACCAAACAACAACAATGATCCTAATGAGGTTAGATGCAATTTACATGATTAGATTGTGTCTTGAGTCAGTGTATTCTGAGATATAAAAGGAGAGAGAAGTAAGCAGAGAGGAGGAACCTACTACCACCAAGAAAGAAGAGTCAGGAGTGCAGTGCATTCTTTGGACCTGGGGTTCCTACACTATGAAGCCCTTAGATCTAGAAGAAGATCATTACCTCTGGATCATAAGACACATACATGGTATCTCCAAGGAATGCTGGGCCTGCAGATGCTGAAAGGAGGCAAGGACCTTTCTCTTGATCCAGTGCTCTGAATTCAGACTTCCAGTCTCTTAAATTGTAAAGAATGAATTTTTGTTTGTTAAAGGCATCCACTTGTGGTATTTCTGTTATGTTATAGCAGCAGTAGAGAACGAAGACACTGGTTCTACACCATCCTCACAATTGTTGTGTTTGAGCCTAGTGTTGCAGCCATTGTGTCAGTCCATCTAACTCTTCAAAACCTATACTGGTTCCATTTGTTCATGCTTGGGAACTTCGGTTTACCATGTTCATGGATGTCTATATGGATATAATGTATAAGTATATATCAATTTATTCAAATGTGGATTTATTTTTCCACTGTCTCTTCTCCAATGTCTGCCAACTTCCCTCACAGGAGTAGGACTAGAACTCTTTGAATTCTAGAATAGGTTCTTATGTTTTATGTTTTAGGACCAGTGATAAAAGGAGAAACTTGGCAAAACAAAAAGCTGAGGCTCAAAAGAGACTTTATGGTCAAAGTTCAATAAAAAGACTCCTACCAGGTTCCTCAGACTGGGAACAGCAGAGGCATCAATTGGAGAGACGGAAAGAAGAGTTGGTATGGAAATTTTAATAAAGCACCTACAATTTTAATTGTATGGTTCATTTGTCAAGTTTCATTTGCAAAACCTTTTTCATTTCCAGAAAGAGAGACTCTCTCAAGTAAGAAAGCAAGTCTCAAAAGAAGAACATGAAAATCGGCATATGGGGAATTATAGGTAACTACCATTTTTATGTTCTGGTAGCATAGTGGTTACTAATTGGACTGCTAATCTCAAGGTCAGCAGTTCAAAACTACCAGCTGATCCACGGAATAAAAATGAGGCTTTCTGCTCCCATAAATATTTACAGCCTCAGAAACCCTGTACAGGGTTGCTATGAGTTGGAACCAACTCCATGGCACATAACAACAACAACTACTATTTTTGTGCAGATTGAAGGGGTTAAATGTTGACGGGTTCTGTTGTTTTGTTTGTGTTCATTCTCTAAAAGTATATTTTGTTTCATATCTTCCGAGAAAGAAGTAGTCAGCAAGTAGATGGTTCAAACTTGGTAGAGAGCTTCTGCTAGTCAATATTTGGGGAGATTGCACCAGATCTTCTCAATCGTCTGTTGTCCTGTGACTTTATTTGGTTATAGTATAGTGTTTTGAGGAAGTCAGGTTTCAGGTCTCCTGAATCTCTTCTGTCATTTAAATATGCTTGCTGTTCTTTGTTTTAAGCCAAATGCTTCTGGAACCAGACAAACAATGAAAATGTTGGAAGGAGCCAGATAAGAAAAAATGAGAGAAATATGAACTGTGGTGAACTGAAACCACTTCACAGTACCACCCTCTGGTAGCGTAGTGATTACAAATCGGGCTGTGAACCGCAAGCTCAGCAGTTCGAAACTACCAGCTGTTCCGCAGGAGAAAGAGGAGACTTTCTGCTCCCGTTAAGATTTATAGCCTTAGAAACCCTGTGCAGGGTTGCTATGAGTCAGAACCGACTCCACAGCACATAACAACAACAACAACAACCTCCTTATGTTATTAGAAAGATGATCCTCCTCCATAGCTTTGACATGAATTCACCAAGCTTAAGGAGTTCTAGGTTGGGGGCATAGAACTTCTGACTCTTCCTGTCTGATTGTCCTTACTGGTCCTAACTCAATCCACATGTTAATAAGAACACATTAATCCCATACATGCTACCTCTATCTCAGTTTTTTCTGCTTTTGAGCTAAGTTCCACCATATCAAAAGATATCATCAGGACTGATCTCTATATTCTTATTTATTTTAGGAACTGTGCGAAGTACAAAGCTCTCAAATATTCCTCAAGACCTGAACTCTTCTCTACAAATTTATTGCCTCCAGTCAGACCCCATTGCCAGTCTTCTGTTACTGCTCCAACTAAACCCTTATGCTTTTTGGAGCTGCAGTGTTTAATGATGATTCTCTAGATAGGCTTTCAATTTGTGTGAATAGATGGAAATTTACAAAATGTCCACAACTGTATTCATCTTTATTTTCAGCACCTAGTAAAATGATTACCAGAGTAGGTAGTCAAGAATAACCCATGTAGTTGGCCTTAACTATTGAAATAATGCCATCTTGTTTTAAACCTGGCTTATCTGGTTTTATTGTAGACGAATATATCCTCCTGAAGATAAAACACTACTTGAAAAGTATGAAAATTTGTTGGCTGCTGCTTTTCAGACTTTCCTTTCAGGTAGAGCAGCTTCATTCCAACGAGAATTGAATAATCCTTTGAAAAAGATGAAGGTAAGGGAATAAGTTTTTATTTAGAGAAAAAGAATGAGGCAAAAAATATGTTTAAAAAACAACAACCTTCTATCAGTGAACCATGGAGAGTTTTTTCTTTGTTTTAGGGTAATCATGATTGTCGAGTGTGACATGCCTAAATCATGAACAGTAAATTTCATTGATTTTTATCTTTGTGTTGCTTATAACCTTTGTTTCATGGCCAAGTTGTTACTTCTCCTTTGCCTATAATGGTTGATATTACTAACAGGAATATGACTGTATTTAGAAGCACTTCATGATAATATTTTTTTAAAGAAAATTAAACAGAGAAATAACACACACAAACAAACAAAAAATTACCTTCCATCTACAGATCACTGTTTACTTTTAGGATTGTACTTTTCTCAGATTTTGTGTTCTAAAAATTCCTATTATTTCATAAATGCAACCAAGTAATTTCATATGAACAAGATGTTATCTAATAGAACAAATTATGGGATGAATAATTATGCTATCATAATATCAATAAATTTTAATGTCTTATTACACCAATGTGCATTTGTAACTAAATAAGAAAGTCAATTAAATTGTGAATGTGGTAATGTTTCTCAGGAATATTTTAATAGGACAGCTCTTACCACCCTTGAAGAATAAACAGGTGCATTGTCAAGATGTAAAAATATTCCTGGATGTAACTTCCCTGGACTTTTTCTCACCAATGAAGTTTTCAGTGTTCTAAAACTTAATTTTAAGCTTCTGGATCATTCTTTTCATGGTATTTTGCTGAGGAACTTTGTGTATTATAAGGGATATTGCTCTGTAATTTTCTCATTTGTAGTGTCATTAACTGGCTTTGGTATTAGGGTAAAGCTGGTTTCATAGAATAAATTCCCCCATCTTATGAGGAAAGATGGTAATTTTTCAAATGCTTAACTGAATTTGTACATAAACCCTTCTGACCTTGGACTTTTCTTTGCCGGTGGTAGTTGTATGCTGTTCCGTTGGTTCCAGCTTCTAGCTGCCTTGTATAGTGTTTCTGAGGCTCTCAGTCTTTACAGCAGCAAAAAGCCCCATCTTTCTCCCACGGAGTTTCTGGTGGATTCAAACTGCTGACCTCATGCTAATAATCCACTATGCTATACCATGGTTCCTTCTATCTTTGCTAAGAGGTTTTTAATTACTGATTTAGTCTCTTTTTTGTTACAGATATGTTTAGATTTTCTGTCTCTGCTTGATTAAAATTATGTAATTTTTTATGTTTCTAGAAATTGTCCATTTCATTTAGATTATCTAGTTTGTTAATGTGCAATTGTTTTTAGTGTTCTCTCCTTTATTTATTATCAGTAATAATGCCTCCACATTTATTTCTGATTATAGTAATTTGCATTTTCTTTTTTCTTTCACAGTCGAGATTTGTCAATTTTATTGATAATTTCAAATAACTAATTTTTGGTTTAATTATTGTTTCTCTATATCTCATTTGTTTTTAGTCAAACCTTTATTTTTTTGTTAACTTCGGTCTTAGTTTGCACTTCCTTTTTGAAGTATCACACAGTGTAAAGTTAGATTATGAATTGAAGATTTTTTAAATATAGGAATGTACAGATACAAATTTTCCTCTAGTCATCGCTTTTGCACCATTCCATAGCTTTCATGTGCCGTGCTTTCATTTTCTTTCCTCTATAAGTGTTTTCTTATTCTTTGATCATTTTATTCTTTAACTCATTTTTTATAGTGTGTTTAATACATATTTATGAATTTTCTAATTTTCCTTCTGTGATTTTTAGTTTCATTCCATTATGGAAAGATTCTATTATATTAAAAATTACTGAGACTTGTCATTTAACATGTTTTGTCCTAAAGAAATTCATACATGTTAGAGAAGAACGTGTTTTCTTTTTTTCTGAGTGGAGTGTTTTATATATATACACCTGTTAGGTGTAGTTGAATTACTGTTCAAGTCCTTAGTTTTGTAATTGATCTTTTTTGTAAATGCTCAGTTGGTTATTGAAAGAGGGGTATTGAAGTTTCCAACTACTGTTGTAGAATTTTATTTCTCCCATCAATTCTGTCAATATTTACTTCATATCTTTTGGAGCTGTTGTTAGGTACATTTATACTTATAATTGTTATATCCTCTTGTTTTGGCATGGAGCTGCAGGATAATGCACTGGACTACAAAGTTGGTTTGAACTCCAAGGTCGATGGTTCAAACTCACTAAGTCCCTTCCCAGAAATCCTTTACAGTGTCACTATGTGTTGGAACTCAGTGGCACTTAACAACAACAGCAGCAGTCCCCTTGATAAATTGAGTTTTTCAGTCATTATATAATGTCATTCTTTGTTTTCTATAACAGTTTTTGACTTAAAATGTATTTTGTCCAATATTTTATAGTGACCTCAGTTCTCGCTCTCTTTTTGTTTTTGACCTCGGTTCTCTTTTGATTACTATTTGTATGGTATATTTTTTCTCTCCTTTCACTCACAGAAACCATTTAATTAGATCTTTGTTTTTGTTGTTGTTGTTATTGTTGATGATAGGGATTATAGATATAATATTTTCTTTTAATCTGTTCTGCCCATTTCTGCTGATTAGAGATTTTGTTGTTGTTAAGTGCCTTCGAGTCGGTTCCGACCCATAGCGACCCTGTACAGGGTTTCCGAGGGTGTAAATCCTTACGGGAGTA